AAGAATCCTCTACAAATCACTCAATAATGAAAAGAAATTACAGAAAGGACAGATGGATATCTTTGAGATTGAAGCCGTTCATTTGGGTGATTTGAAGAAAGTAATTGTTGGACATGATATGATAAGAGCTGGACAGGGTTGGTCACTAGATAAGGTTATCATCAAAGAGGCGGAAGACGCAGACAAGGAGTGGTACTTTCAGTGCAAGAAGTAAGAAAATTGTCTTGAAATGATTGCTTTCTTCTTTAATACATGTTATTACTTTTTTGCTATTTAACAATGTTATCGATTTACATAAATAGTATTTTTTTTCTCACCTGACTAAAAATTTGCTATCCTGCTTCTCCTTCTGAAATATTGGTACACATGTCTGCAAATTGGAAAAACAAACTGAAGGAAATCTGTTCTTCACTGTGAGTCAATTAATATGACCATGGGGATGCTTGTTAATTCACCACAGATGTATATTATAGTATAGATAAACATGTTGTCTTCATTAAAGGGAAGCAGAGGGAAGTCTGTACATTAAATTTGAGGTATATGAATGAATTCAGGCTATAAAAACAACTTGTATGTGCTGTGAAATGCCCTAAATATCGGCTATAAAATGGGATGTGAAGTAGACGACAAACGTTCTTTTTGCAGGGTGCATTTCGCCTCTAGAAGGCTAATTAGTCCCTGTGTGGACGCAGTCCGAAATTGGGGACTTATGTTTTGACCTCTGTGCGTGCGTGCATGGACCAATCACAATCAAACTTCACACATACATCATACATGATAATTTACATATCATGCATATCAATTTGTTTCACGATTTGATTCGAAATGGCCGAATGGCGGTCATTTTGTTTTAATAAATGTGGTTCTAGTGCCATATCTCTGACTTGCTGTGACTGATTATGTTCAAATTTTAAATATTCATTATACATGTCATAGATATACAGATATATTTGTTTGACGATCCTATGAAAAATGGCCGAATGGTGTCCATTTTTGTGCTAAAAAATCATCAAATATCAAGCAATTCTTGCATTTATGGATGGGTTTTGTTCAAACTTAGTACATACATTAGACATTACGGGTTCCTGATGCACGTTATTTTTATTTTTTAGATCAGATTCAGAATGGCTGACTAATGGCCATTTTGTTTTAATGAATTGGCTTCTAGAGACTTATCTCTGACATGCTTCGACTGACTATGTTCAAACTTTATATATTCATTATACATGTATTCAAAATGGCTGATTTTATTTTTTAATGCTGTTCCAGAGCAATATCTCTCAATACTCGTTTGATGATCAGATACAAATGTCAATGATTTAAATGTTAAACAATCATCATAATCATATTCCTGACATGTTTATATTCCAGCTATATTACTATAAACAAAACTATATAATCTTAAATTTGATAACTAACAGGGACTGTGCCATGCATGGCTTTGTCAATTAAAAGTCTTGATAATCATCATTGTAATGAGCAAGCAGCCCTAGATACAAATGGAACACAGTCCTACTCCATCAGCATATTGTGGAACACTGCCAATTCACATTACATATGTATGCTAAATTCATAAGACTAATCACGTTTGTCCACAAGTAATCCTTTCATCCAATTTCCTTATATTTATTCACTAAAATCAGAACAAGCATCCAAATCATGTAACAAGAAGGCACGATACAAAGTGGCATAGATTTGAAGCGTTAATACTTGTATCCCAAAACTGTATCATTAAAATCACCATTTTGACCACTCACTCACTCACTCACAGCGATCAGTGTTTTCAATATGTGAGCAAGAGGGTTCAATTATCAGGATGATGTCATCAGCTAGCCGTCTAGAGGATAAATGGTGCCATGCGAAGAAGACGTTTGTAGTCTACTTCACAGCCTATTTTATATCCCGATATTTTATATCCGATATTTAGGGCATTTTGCAGCACATACATGTTTTTTTATCGTCAGAATTCATTCATAGATCTCAAATTTCATGTACAGAGTAACAGAAGCCA